GGAAGGGTACGAAGTCCTTGTCACAAGGAGCAGAGACAAGTCTAATGGTTGCTCGGCCTGCTACTACTCAGCCCGAGGAAGCTTTCCACATGTGAAGACACATGAGTTGAAAGCTGCAATGGATGAACATCAGACAGTGGAGGACAAGTCCCGAGCCTGCATAATGATGACTCACTCATTGGACTCATTTGACTAGACTCTCATTTGTGTAGAGTCAGTGCGCACATGAGATTGTGGTTTTGGGTACCAATGTGTCACGACTATGGGTGCACGGACTAGACTGGACTAGTCGGACTAGCTTTCTGAATGTCGTGGATCATGGACGAATTAATGCTGGCGCTGCTGCTAAGGTTCTTTGAGTGCAGAGCCTCAAAAGTCAAGGAGAAAGCCCTTTTTCCTCACAAAAAGGGCCGCCACACCAAACAGTCATTGGGTGAGTTGATCAAGCGCAGCGAGAAGGACTATGTGGACTTCCAAGAGGCCTGGGTGGAAAATCAAACTGATGATATGATATGATTATGATTCGATAGATTAAGTTATTTATATAATATATGAATGCGCCGCGCTGTGCTGACGTGCGGAAAAGGAGAGATGAGAGATGTTAGGTACACCACAGTCTTTGCCATTCAAAAGTAGGGCTGAGCCAATCTAGTTGTCTTAAGGAATCAAGAACCGGACCAAACCTGTAATGATCTGTATTCGGTAACTAGGTCTACACCTACTGGAGGAAGATAAACTGCTTTATGATAAACTATTCTCATTCTCTCACGCGTATTCAGGTGAATGAGCTTGTGGACTTGAAGACATTCACGGAGGACCCAGCCAACAACCCGCAGAAGATCAAGTTTAAGAGTCTTGCGGAGAGAAGGAGGTATGTGAAGGACAAGCTCAAGCTTTCCACAGCAATCGACCCCAAGACAGGGTTGGAGTCAGTGCCTGTCCACTCCAAGACTCTTATGCTCAAAGGGCATCGGGTGACCGCTTCAAGGACCAAACAAGACACTTTCGAGGACAAGCACGAGTCCAAGGCTGCATTCAACCAAGCACGCGGGGGGTGTTGACGTGGCTACGAACCAAAAGGCAGGGCAAGTTGATGGAAGGGCCCATGCAGCTACTACAATACTGTACAATATGTTCACAGCAGATTCAGATTGAAGTGATCCAGGATCTAGTAGCTCAGTAGCTCTAGTGTCATCTAGAGCTTCAGTCTAGGTTCCAAACAGATCTGCGACAGAGTCTTCTTGGTGCAGGAAGACATCCAGGCGGCTCTTGCTGAGGAGGCTGGGGAGAACGACAGCGAGAGCTCAGGATCATCTTCGGAGTCTGACAGCTCTACCAGCAGTTCTTTTGGCGCCTTGGGCCTTGACTGTCCACGTAACGACGTCGGTGCTGCCTGCAGGTACAGTACAATGAAGGCATGGAAGAGGTTAAGTTACACTTGTCATCCTAAGCGCGCACGCACACACTCAGAGTCACAGTATACAGTATACAGTCACACCGTCACACCGTCTGTCTGAATCAAACTTTCACAGAAAGGTAAAGGTATCGGTATCAGTTCTAAGTTCCATGTTCTATTATTCTATTCTATTGATCGTGAATCGTGAACAATTAAATTTGAACCAACTCCCTAGGGCAAAAACAGTTCACACAAAACATGAACATCGATTGCAGTACGAACTGCTGAACTACTGTTGAAATATTGTACAATTGTACGCTAGTGCCACTGCTGTTACCGTGTCACGAATCTGAGTCTTTACAACCTGTCCCAAATCAACCATAATAAGAGAACACAACTAGACCAGACTAGACTAGAACTAGAACGTAGACATATCTCCTCCCTGGGCCCCTTGAGTCATGGGTGAGACCCCGTGACATTGTCGCACAGGTGTTGCTCAAGCAAACGAGGATGCTGAGAACAAATCGAAGAGACGCTCGGGCGCAGCAAAGGGCAAGGCAGCACCAAAGAAGCCTGAGAAGCCAACCAAGCCAGAGGGTAAAGGCCGCGCTGCACCGAAGCGGGAGGCGAATCCAGAGATTCCTGACAAGCGCTGTGAGGCAACAATCTCGACCGCCCAGAAATCTCTCCAGTCGCTGACAGAACTTACAGCTCAGTCACTCTGGAAAAGCCTCATCAGGGCAAATGAACTCGAACGACAGCTATCCAAGGCGGGCTCATCAGTGGGAGAGCTGCAAAAGGTTGGAGCGAATGAGAAAGCTGACTCATCCCAAAAGAAAAAGGCTGCTAGTCTCGAGGATGACATCACGGAAGCCTCCAAAACTGCATGCGCTTTGAAAGAGATGTGCCGCATTTTGAGGTCTGAGACAGCAGAGCTTTCCAAGGAGGTGGCAAATGGTTCAGGTTTGCAGGAGCAGCTCCAGATTTGTGGGCCCAAGCTTGTTGCTGAGCCAAACATTTTGATGGAGATGGTGCATTCCACTGCAAAGAAGCTTACAGAGGTGCGAGTGCATGTTTGCGAAACATTGTTAGTTGTCACCGTCCGAATTCTAAATCCAAACTTACTTGATTTATTACTTTCATCGAAGCAGCTTCAGGTTCAAATTCAACCTATACTTACTGTCACTGTCACTGTCGGTCTACAAATTCAAAGTTACAGTCGGAGTCATAAGTTCATATGCATAACATATCCATACAGGATTCATGAACATCAGAATCATAATTCCTAATTCATATAGAACCATACATACTAAATGAGGTATGAGTCACATGAGATAGGAGTTCGCAAGGCAAAGGACGACATGTTCTGGAAGTTCCTCCAGCTCAAGTCCGACAGTGGTGGCGGCTTTTGCTTGCTGGACCTGTTGAACCCGCAAAAGGATGAAGTGAAACGTGGCGAGCTTTTGGGCCACCTTCTGAGGGCTCAAGCGGCTGCAGTTGCAGAGTTCTTCTATGAGAAACTCCGTGGATCAGACGGAGTCCAGATTGCAAAAGAGCGCCTTCCCAGCTACCTGAAGTTTTCGGATTTTCTTGATGAGAAGAGATGGCTTCTGGGCAGCATCAGATATTTTTCGATTTTCATTCTTCCGTTCTGAGTTCTGAGATTCCAAATGATTCTCTGCCCAAAACTAACTGGTGCTGGAACCTCTCACAACGTCGCATCTCCTCCAACTGTATGTATCCTGTGTTGCCGGCCTGTGCTTTCTTATTACCGTGGGAAAGGGTTTTTAGGGCGATGTGAGCTTTTGTCTGGGTCGGGTCAACTCAGTGGTGCCAATCAACGGTTGATGGCGGGGCCGTCACGGTGCAGTGAGGTTCCCTCCACCTGGGAAGGGCGAGGTCTCCACAGAAGGTTACCGGTGTGAAGCTGGCTTCAGCTCTACAGTGGTGGCTGACTTGCAACGTGTCTTTGGAGCTTTGGAAATGCTGCGGTCGGAGACGGACCCAGTTGACCCACCGCTTGATCAAAGCTACTTGGGGGAAGTTGCAGGCGCCAGCTCCTCCTTCTCAACAGTTGTGGTTTCCCCAATGTCGGCTCAGAGTGAATTCACGCGCGGTGTTGGCTAGAGTTTTGTTGTGGACTCGAACAAGAAATCACAGCCTCAGCCAGACCCGATTCATTCTCAAGTGTTTGTCCTTGGTTCGAGTGATTTGGTATGACAATATAGCATATGGCTTACGCAACATTGCCCAAATGATAGCAAAGCAAAACAGTAACAGCGCATCGATTCGCATCCGAGAAAGGCAAATAAGGTAAAAGTAAGGCGGTAAGGTGACTAGTGACTAATTAGGGCTTAGGGCGATTAGGTGATGTTGAACATAAAGTTATTTATATAAATTTGAAAGTTGTGTTTTTTTAAAAAATTGAGTAAGTGTTTCATGTTTGTATACGTTCTTTAATTACTTTGTCTTCCCTTCTCAACAGCTAATCCCTCCCAGGAGATTGTGGATAAAGCTTCTGACTGTGCATAGAAACAAGACGGCCAGTGACCAGCTCCTGAAGGACAGCCGTTCGGCAATCACTTAGATTGAGTCGCTCGTGGGCAGCACTGAGTCCTGTGGCCTCGACGAGATGAAAGAAAAGCTTGAAGCCTTTTCGGGGATTCCGGCAATGATCAAGCAGGTGGAAAACCTAGGCGCCCCAGGGGCAGAGGATGCGACAGCTCTGAAGGCGGCACAGAGCAAGCTTTGCGCTTGGGCGCCGACAAAGCTTCAAGAGGACCAACAGTTTCAGGCGATCCTGGGGAAGATCACTACCCATGCCGACGGGCTTTTTGGTAGTCGAGAAGAAGGGCCTTTGATGGGCGAGCGCGCTGCCAAGAGCTATGACGCGACGGTCCCAACTGCCCCGCCAGAGATTGATCAGGCCTTCATGCTGCGTCGCCTTTTGGCGAGACTAGCTAAACGGCTAGTAGTAGGCCGGCCAGGCTAGACTGCGACTGTCAACTGTTGGTTGGGAAAACACTTGGACTTAGAGATGGGATGAGATGAACTGAACATCACATCAAATGAATTTTGGACTGTATAAAGCATCAGTTATTTGATCACCTGATTAGTTCGTTAGTAAGATAGTTGTCAGTTCGCAGGCCTAGACAGAACACAAACGAACAAACACACAAACCGACAAACAAACATGTGACTCATAACTCATAAACTCATAACATGTAACGTAAAACATGTCTTGACCCAAGCTAAAGAACTTCAGGCTACTTTCATGCCAAGCAGTTCAACAGTGGCATCCCTTTGCCATCATGCTGCGCAACTTTGACGGAGTGGGCATCCCGCGTGACATGCTTGAAAGAGAAGATCCCTAGTGACTCAGAAGATATGACCCGCCTCGCAGAGCTGGCCAGGTTTTGCTCAGACTGCGTTGAAGCCTGTGAAAAGAGTTTCATAGGATCAGCAGACAAAAGCGATGCTGTTTGTCTAGCAGCTGCAAACGCAGCAGAGGCTGTGATGAGCATGGTGCACCGGTTGCAGTCCATCGTCAATGCCAAGATGGTCTTTGTCATTGCCGAGAAGAAGGGGAATGTCAGCCAAGATGTCAAAAGCCGTTTGCCCAAGGTTCTGCAGTCCATGGCCCACATCTTGGAGATCGATTGGGCATCTGAGCACAAAGCGCTTGAGGACCCGATCCATAAATCTGATCCTGCGTTTTTCCACTCAAAGCTCGAGATGTTCGACGCGGCCCTTGCAGCAACGGACGCGACTTTGTTGAAAGACGATGCCTTTTCAACAACTTCCAAGACCTGCAAGGAGTATTGCAACAAGTATGTGCAGCTCTGTGCAGCAGCAGTGGATCAGGCCTACACAACATGTGTTGAGCCGCTCAAAGCTTTTGCTGAGAAGTACCAAGAGGTTGAGCCGTGTGCCAAGGAAGTGAAGTTCGACAGTGTGAAATATCTCGTCAAGGACCAGTCTGAGGGAGAGCTGAAGGCCGACATCGATGCCCTCAGAGCGGACCGCAAAAGTGCCATGGAACTTGTGGAGCGGCTGTCCCCTTTAGCCAAGCGTACCGATGCCTCACATGAATCTCCTATGTTGCGAGGCCTCGGAAGGCATATCGAGAAGCAAATGAAAGAACTTCAGGAGTTCTTGACAAATGCTGCCCGGATCTGCACTACTCTGATCTTCTCCGACCTGATGCACGTCCCAAAGTGTGACGACAAAGAGCTTGACAGGATTGAAAAGCACACCCAAAAGCATTTCGGCATGGGAAAGAGTTCCATGCCACCGAAGCTTGTCGATGCCTTGAACAAGCTTGCGGCTTCCTGGGCAGAGAGTGCGGGAAAGGCCTAGGAGAGGGGCAACAAAAGGACTTCAGATGTGACGACAAAGTCTGACAAGAATGCCGATGGCAAAAAGCAGAAGAAAGAGAAGGAGGAGAAGAAAGATAAGAAGCAGAAGGTCAGAAGTGCAGAGGAGAGTGGAAACAAAGCCAAGAAATCCAGAAAGGCAAAGTAGTCACTTGGGCCGCGGGTCCATGAGGTGTTCCAAAACCCGAACTCCGAACTCTCAACGGTG